AGAGGTAAATACAGATACTTCTACAGTATGGTACGGTCTTTTGAACATGTCGAAGTGCTATGGAAGCACTTCAGTGACAGGGTTTGTTCTTGTTTTAACATGTGGCTGTTCGCTGATGATGTGTTCGAAGAATGGAGATAGTAAATGAACATGAAATTTGTACTTGTGACCTCTGCATAAGACAGTTATCATGCTACTGTGAGTAAAATTATTTTTTGTTCAGGAGTCCTGCACAATGTCACTGTATTACTTGAATCCCAGGTTTCCCATCAAAGCATAACTTGGAAGGGATTTAAGGGATTCACAGGCCTTCTGCTGGCCCTCAGTCCAGCATTTTGAGGTCAAAGAAGTAAATTGGAACTTACAATAGTATCTTTGCTGTATTTTTTTTTTTTTATAGTTAAAGGGATCCATTTCTCATTCTCACCCAGTTTTTGTTTTTGGAATGAATTAATTGAATTGAAAAAAGGTGAGAAATACCTGGCAGTTTGTATTGTTTCATCCAGTGTATTATCCCAAGCAACATTTTCTACAGTATGTTATTGATTGCTGCATCTGGTCTGGCTTTGAAATGTTTCAAACCACAAGACTTTTATCATTCTTCTGGGGCTACTATTTCATGTAACAGATTTCACTGACAGGAAGTTTTTCCTGATAATCTTGGTAGCTCTCTTTTCTGGCTTTGTGATAAGTGACTTCATTCTTCTTTGACATATGTGGGTGATGAATGGACATTTTCAAAAGATTCCCTTCCAAATTGGAAGACAAAGAGAATTTTAAACAATATAGAGGATAGGTAGTGGGAGAGAAAGAAATTATCAAGCTGGATATACTTTCTGACAGAAGTACGTTTCTGAAGTCTGCAACGTACTTTTCAGTGACACACAATTATGATGAATACTTCTCTGAGAAACTCAGATTTACTTTTCTAGACACCTAAGATGGCTTGCTATTTCGTTGTTAAGGTACTGACAGTGGAATTTCTAAAAGGTAAGACTGAAAAACTGTCTGCAGAGTGAATATGTGAATCTTTCCATCATTTCAGCCACCTTCTTCTGCCACTTTTTGTTGTGTTTGTATCCCTTACTTTGGACTTTTGTCACATGTTGTAAAGGCTAGCGATGTACATCTGGGTCTTGGCAAGTTGAGAACTGTGACTGTGAATAATGAATCAATTATCACTTAGTCAGGAGGAAGACGGAGTGATCCTCTTGCTGGCTTGAATATGATCTTTCTTCCTTCCCCTTCTCTTGCAAAAGTAAAGACAGAAATGGTTGAAATTCAGAACAAAGGAATACAGCTGTGATATTTCTCTGCAGGTTGTACTTTCTCTTTAAATTTAGAACAATTTATGTGTGTTGTTTTTAATAATATTTTTTAAGATCATAACTGTTACTGCTTCAAGAGAGTTATGTGATGCATGCATTGAGAAACTGTAGGTATCAGTAGTCACTGTGGACATCTGAAGGTGGATCTAACTGGCCCTCAGGGACTGTGCTTGAGGCTAGCAACGTAATGTTTGATTCACCTTCACCCCTCCAACTTATGTGGCATAGCCTCATTATGCGCATGGTTGCATAGCTGATACTCTGTCTGCAGCATGCATTTCACACCTGCTTTGGGTTGTTTAGACTTTTTTCTTTTCCTTCTGAATTTTTCTTCGTTTGCAGTCATGAATCTAGTATCACATTGCAGTTTTGAATGTTTCATTAAATGTAATGTTTAATATTCTATAACCCAATAACTCTGCTATGATCTTAACTAGTTTCTGACAGCAGTTTATGACGGATCTCTTAGGAAAAAGGATAGTGCTTCCAGCTGTAGTCTGGGGTTGGTAAATGGCACATAAATACTATGAATGCACTTGATTTCTTATTAGCTCATTTTATCTATCTAGTTTTTTAACTGTGACAATAGCTCAGCTGTCCAGAAAGTATATAACCTAATAAAATAAGTTTGTCAGCTCATGTGTACTGTCTAATTATAACTGCCCAACTATGTGTCATAGGTCTTTTTCATGCTAATCGTGATACTGTTTTATTTGGAGAAATCAGAACCTATTTTTTGGAGAAGGATGATCTAATTTGTGTCCCAGGAGAATGACCACAGTGGTATCCAAAATAGGCATGGGCTTGTGCGGGAATATCATGTTTATTCAGAGCCTATTGACTGTATGAATTATGTGCTGATCATTCCAGCTGATGATGCCTTTTGTCTCTCTGTTGATCTGGCTGAGAAAAGCATATGGCTTCCAGAGGCTTTTTCTCACTTCTCATAGATAAAGGCTCCTGATGTGCACAGGGAGGATACTGGGTCCTGAGTCCCTAGCGTTACTCCGTAGGTCTGCACGTTTGGCTGCAAAATTTGCTAATACACTCATACTCTAAAATACATTAGTATCCTTTTCTGGTTTGTCAGTCTTTAATATCAAACTTGTCAGTTGTTAATATAAAACTGGAAGTCCATCCTGGTTTGCCACTACAACAACAAAAGATTGAAGCTTTTTGAGCTAGTCATCTAGTTCTTCCTATAGAGTGACAGTAAAAATATCTTCAAATAGTGGGTGACCATTTTACCTGTCAAGAATTTAAAAGAGGGTATCCTGTGTAACACTGCTTCATTTCCATGGCTTGAAAAAGAGACTGTGTAGGAAGAAGAGATTGCATATATGTACTGCTGTTTCCAAATACTGTTTTAGGAAAGTACTTGCTAAAAAAGCAGGGAGAAGCCAGATGTCGTATCAAGAGACCTGGGATTTAGAAATTATTCAGAGGATCCATCTGTGGTCTGAGCATTAAAATCTGTTTGCTAGATTGCTCTGGTCCAGTGCAATTTACTTTCTATGAACCTTGACTCTTATAAGTGTGGACTTCAGGTTATGCCCAGACTGCCAGCCCTTTCTGTGTGTCATAGTGACTGCAGCACAGAGCTGTCCCTGGGGATTAATAACTCTTTGGTGGGTGGCTCAATGTAGTAATCCCAAGGGCATCATTAAAACTCTCCACAAGAATTACTTCAATGCCTGTAACATATAATTATGCTTTAGAAATGCACTGCGATGTTTCTTATTGTTACAAAGTAGGTTTTTCAAACTAAACCCAAGAAACTGTTAAATGATAATTTATTTTTCATTAAGAACACGTGGTGTGAAGTTCATTTGAATTGATTGTCCTATAGCTGCTCCGTATTTGATAATGGGACTTTTAAAATAAAAAGCTCTGCATTTTTATTTTGGCCATCATTAGTATATTTTTTTGCCATGTTGTAGGAAAAAAACCTGTTCAGCATGGGTTTGGAAATCCATACTTCCATGCACATACTTGTCCTGATCTGTAATCAGCTCCTAGATCCAGTCTGTACTGTTGACATTTCATTTGATGATCATTTAGCTGTATCCTAATTCTACTGGCTGCTCTGTGCCCCGTGGACCTGGCTGGTATAACAGTCAGAAGCACTGATTGTTGTCTTAACTTTGCTGTTGTTGTCCAAGGAGTTGTTAAAGGTCTGACAGATGTCACAAGCTATCATTGAAAGACTCAGTTCTGTTTCTGAACAGGTCGTATTTTCAGTAAGGCCCCAATTAACCACTATTGATGTATAAAATAAACAGGAGAGAAGTTATTCCAATCTTCTGTCAATGCACTGGCAAAACATTTTTCCAGTCTGTCTTTCAAGACCAAAGGAATCCCCTAAGGGAACAAACCCTGCTTGAACATCTGTATTTAATCTCAGGACCTAAACTTCTGGCAATTAAGTATCACTGGTGTATTGCTGTTTGTTAGTCTGAACCCAATAAAAAAATACTAACTTGCAAAATTTTCCCACCCAGTCCGATTGCTGATATAGGGAGGAAATCAAATCGGTAATAAGCTAAGTCAAGAGTAGTTATATAGTTGTTAAACACTGAAAGTAGCAGTGCCTAAAGAAAAGAGCTCTAGTGAGGTGTTTTACTAACTAAAGATACATAGGACCTGTCAGTGCATCTCATCACGTGGTCCTGGACTGGTGGAGATTCTGGCAGTGGTGCCCATGAACACTCGAGAGCTCTGTGGGTGCTGGCCCTGGGCGGACTCACAGCCACTATCAGCATGAGCTCTGACAAGAACTGCCAAGGCTTACTTCTCTACACTAGACAACATGGGTGTTAGCTCTAATGGTTGTGAGGTTCACACGCGGGGCACACGTTTGCACTGGTAGTATAAACAGGGTGGTACCAAGATATTGAGGTAGAAAATACAAGAACTACTCCATTTTTGGACGAGATCATCACTGTACTATGACCAAAATCAAGAGTCCCTTCTTGTCCTTGATAAGAAGGTACACCATCAGTTAGGTATGTGAAGGAATATGTGCACTTGAAGTGCTTAAGATATGGATGATTTTGTGAGCACAGATCTCAGATAAGCACAGATACTGGACTTTTAAAACTAGACATGTAAGTGTTGGGAGTGATGTTGGGAGTGTGTGTTGGTGTTGGGATTTCTGGTTTTAATTCTAAAAATGTACATCAAAAATAGCTCTACTGAGTGCATGCAGTTACTATGGGGTTTATAGTCTCTTCACATGTGCTGGTGCTGGCAGTGCCAGATGAAGGCTTGGGCACAAATGTTATGTGCCATTTTGTGCAGCATTCAGAGAGCACTTTAACAAAGGTTTAAAATAAAAACTAAGGTGTAAACTTACTTACTCTCTTGCTTTTTTTGGTTATTTTCAGCTCTCGGGTTATTTTATAAAGTTTTCTGTATGTTGCATAAGCTTTTTAGGCAATGAATTCTTCAGTATTGAGGAATAGTTGATACTCTGTGCACTTGACGTTCGTACTGTGTATTTGGTTTTATGATGAAGATTGCAGAATACATGTATATGATACATATGAAGCTCTGAGCATGAGAGGAAAAGTGAATGTGTAAAGTATCAGTATTAGATCTAATGAAATTCACATTTTTCTTTTTCTTGGATGGTGCATTATGTTATCTGATCTGGTGTGATTCTCCTTGCAGAGGAAGAGGGGAAAACAATTCAAGGAAATAAAGTGGACTCCCTAAGAAAAACATTTTCTACTTCTGAATTATCAAACAGAAATAAACAGGATGGCTCACCTGGAAGAAGCAAAGAAATGTGGGTGTCTCTTCCACCACAGATGCCAAATGTGAATGAGGTAACGAGTTAACATTTGTCCATGTGGACAAGCACCACATTCAAATAGATGAAAATATGGGGAGATGCACTGTCCAAATGTTAGAGGCTAGTGGTATTTATTCCATCCGAGGCAAATATTTAAAATACTACCAAAGTGTGTGATGCTTACAGAGGCACCTGCAGGGATCACGTTTGGCAGTGGCATTTGCTCTACTGAAGAGCTGCCATAATCTGACTAATAAACAAGGTGCCCTGCAAGGACCTTTGTAATGCTTTCACTGAAGACTGCAGTTAATAATAGAGGTTGGCAAGCAGGAAAAAGTCTTGAGAGTAGGGATGCCAGCATGCACAGATTTATTCTGTTTCTCGGGGATTTTAGCAAGTACTGAATTCTCTGTTACTGAAGCTAGATTGCTTCAGCTACCTAAAGTAAACAGTAGGTGGGCCAGAGGCATTTTTAATCTTCTGAAACATGTGAGATTAGGGATTTAATGTGTAGGGACAGGAAAACAACACGCATCATCTGGAGAAAGCAAGATGGAAATATGAATTCATTTATTAAGAACTTCTGCCTTCTTGCCTGAATAACAAGTAACTAAGCTGCAATCTAGCCTGTACTCAAAGTTCCCTTCATTAAACTTTTTATTAAAAAAGAAGTAGCAGGTCATTTTGTGCAGTACTCAGAGCAACACACTTAAGTGCCTTCAAATGATGGGCCTGCCAGGCCTCAGTCAAAGAGCACAAGCTGTCATTTTCCTCCCTACTAGCACATGCCTTTGAGGTCAAACCAAGTAAGGCTTTTAAAACAATCACATTCTGTCAGCTGATTGTATAATGATAATAATGACAAGAATCTTCTTACCATTTTTTCTCATGAAGAATATGGTTGCCTCATTGGGATAGTCTGCCTTTGGGTGTCTTTAGCCACTGTGAATTGGCTTTCTGCCCCATAAAGCAATGTGCAACTTCCATTATCCTTTATTTAATGGAACATCTTAATACTTGTCTTTGTTGCTACAGAAAAAAATTGCAGGCATGGCTGCACATTTTTGTCACATTAGCAGTTTAAGAAACAAATATAGTAGAATGCATCGGAAAAATTGCTAGTGTCGTAGCAGGAGGAGGCTGTAATGCAATAAGTTGGCCACGCCTGCCCTGAGGAAAGGAAAGGGAAAAAACTGCTATTGAAGACAATGATTCTGTTCTAAATGCTGCTTTTTAGGCATGTTATGATTACTTGCACTGTTGTTCCAATTGATTCAGTCTGGTCCTGTGTAGGATTTCAGAGAATTACTTGCATACGTTCTATTTTCAGGAGCATTGCATTCACTATTTTAAAATTTTTAAACACACCGTAAAGGGTCTGTATGTCTAAATCAGTAGGAGCTTTGACTGTGATTTTGGTTCTGTTTCATGCATGTAAATGTTTCTGCCTGTCTATCTACATACAGACAGTGATGAATGAGAGCTGGAAAGCTGGTGGCTCTGATGGAAATGATCTCAGTCTATCTGAAAGAGTGAAGGTGAGGTTTTCTTTGATTTTTTCAAAGTGGGGATTATGAGTAGAATGTGACTGATTTTTGCTTTATTCATTTAGAAAGTACTTGCAATTTGTTGATGGATTCTTTCTTTCCCATCTGTGGGAGAGAACGATGAGAATATCACTGTCCAATTTTTTTTTCAAATTTTATTGAGTGTGTACTTTTAAAGTGTAAAGGTTATGTAAGTGTGGATGAGAATGGTGTCAAATCAGGTTGGAAAGAATTATCTAAGAGCATCTCTAATTACTGCGTAGAAACGCAGAAGAAGTGCATATAGTAAGTCCTCCATGGTAACACTATTTGCACACAGGTTGGGAAGGGCCTTTTGCTCTCACCCTATGCATCTATTCAGTGCTACCTGAAATAAGAAAAGTCTTTTCTTGTGGTATGTTTTAGATGGTTTAGATCATTTTGAAGGGACATCAGCCTGAAAAAAACAGTAGTGCAATATCCCAGATAAAATACTAAAAATTTAATAATTCTTAGCTTTTTTATTTCCCTTTCAGTTCACCATTAGTATCAAAACAGAAGGATCAAGCTCTACTTTGCCTACAGCAAGTATTGTCACTGTGCCATTTGCAGTGAGCTTGCAAAAACTGCAGAGTAACTTAAAATGTATCTTTCTCCTATGAAAATATTTTACTATTCCATCTTCTCACTAAATTACTGAAAAAGTTGCTGTACAGCTTGAGCTTCTTTCCCGTCACTGTAGTTGATATGCAGCAATTTTGGCAGCAATTCTTTGCCTATACTTAAAAGTATTTCTTTTGGGTTACACATTTCAAGGAAAATTCATATGCTTTCTTGGAAAAATGCAGGGGAGAAAGGAGAAGATGAAGGAGACAATGTAATGCTTTTTTGCTTTGCTCCAGATTGTGCTATAAGAAATGGAATTAATACATTTTAATCTGTTTTCCAATTGGGGTTTTTTATGGTAGGTGGACAAGTACTTAGGTTTGGAAGATACAGACATGGATGAAGAGACATGCAGTGGTAGGTTCCCCCCCTTCATATTCACTGTCATGGTCTGTCTTTGGATGCAAGTGTATGGACATTGTTTAAAGCACCGTTTCTCCTCTAAAAAAGATGTTCTTCCTTAGTTCTTCTATTGCTAGAAAATTCCCCAGATTCCCCAAATTACCCAAATCGCCCAAATTCCCCAAATCAAAGTACTCTTTTCCTCACTCTAAGAGGTAATGAGATAATAGATTATAAGGAATATTTATTATACTGTGTCCTGGTGAGCCAGGTTTTTCTTTCCAGTATTTTTCAGAATTACAAAACACTTCTTGTTAGCAACGTTTGTACATTTTTCTGCACTTTGATTTTGTATTGAAATTATTTTGATTTCAGAAGTTTCTCCACAAAGTAACATGGGTGGTAAGAGAGAGTTCTATAAAGTGGAAATATTTAATGAAAAAGATGTCCCTGCCTATTGAAATTATTTCATCCTGGCTTAAAATAGATTAGACTGATTTTGAATTTACAGTGAACTTCTTTAAGTATTCCAATTATGAGCATTTTAAATTGTGTCTAACTGTTCCATACATCTATAATTTAACTCTTCCACCTCTAAAACGTGAATAGAAACCTAGTGTCTGTAGTTATTTGTCTATCATAGGTGCATGTATGGTCTTTACTACCACAAGAATTGATGACCTTTTAGTGATTAAATACATTTTCCTCATCTATACCTGTGACTGCACAAAGAAACCAAGCCACGCAGATTAAGAGATTTGCCTAAGGTCACTGAAAGAAGCTGTTACAGAGCAGGACTTTGGTCCTAAGTTCCTTGGTTATTGCCATTGATTAGTCTGTCTAATCGGTTAAAGATTTGATTAGTCTTTCCTTTCTGTATTTGCAGAATTCCTATGAAGTCAGAGGGCTTAGAGACTTCCAGTTGATGAATATTTGGAGCTTGGCTGTAACTCACAAGAAAGTAATAAACCAACATAAGTCAGGTTTACGGCAAATATTTTTTTCTCCAACCTGGGCATTTCAGGAAGGAGGGAGTAAGATAGCAGTCCTCTGTCGGGTACAGACATCAAAGATTTCTTTTGAGTGCAGTATTCACATGTACCCATTTTTCAGTTTGTAGGACATTGTTCTGTGTTTATGTCTTAAATTCTGGTAGTATCTATTAAAAAAACCTGGGGCTCATTGCTGGAAACGTAAACCCACATTTCACTTGTATCATAATGAAATGAGAATTGTCTATATCTAGTTCATGGCAGTATTGATAGATATATCTAGTTCAAAACAGGCCACAAATTGTATGATGAGAAATAAGCCCAACACTAAAATACCAAGCAGGGCAGTGAGGAAAGTGCTGCCAGAGCTTGGGGATAGCTTGCTACTCTCTGGACTGTGCCAGACCTTGCCTCTCTCCAGGCTTTTCAGTCATTTCTGTGCATTTGTGAGTGTGTAAGAGTAAACATTAATCACATACATTTAGAAACCCCTAGTAAGACAGACTGCATTTGAATAAGATGAGAATTACAAAAATGATCATCTGCTTGTGCTGTCTGAATAGCACTTTATGCAAGCCACATTGGGAAAACCTTTCAGTTAGTGCTTTTATTGGTGATTATAAAAACAATAAACATAACATTATACCACCACTACTGTAGATTATCAGTGTGCTAACTACTCACTTTTTACGTGACATTTGATTTAGCTTTCAATCTCTGCTCTCCTCAGCTCTTCCCATGAGACAGCACTCCTTGCACTAACTGCCTGCACAGACGGCCTCAGTGCAGAAAGAAGTCGTATCAACCCCTAAACAAGCTACAGTGCTCACTAACAACATTAAGCATTTAGATTGTATTTTATAACATCAAAACGCTGCATAGCCAGAACTAATTATTCCTTCTAAACTCTGTAAGGAAGGTGAACAGCATCCAAATTTACATCTGGGAAACCCACAGTCTGGGTCTTGCCCAGAGCTTCTTCAGTGGAAATAATTGTTGAGTGAAGATGAAGAATTTCCCCTTGACTCCTAAGTGCAGAAAATAGGACTTATAGTTTGATAGTTGTTTTACATGTCAAAATCCACTTGATAGGCTTCATAATGAGAGGTATAGTCTTACTCCTGTAGAAACCATAGCAACAAAACACAAAATATAAAATGGTGTCTCTTCTATTGTTTGTAATAACAAAGTAATATAAAATAATATCCCTACTGACCACCTTAATAAAGGATTAATTCTGAAGAATTCCAGTTAGTTTATAAGTGAGGCAAAGTGTGACACAAATTTGAAAGACATTCTGTTGCTGGCCTTTTTAAATGCTGCCACCTGTATGTCAGAACAAATGATAGATTTAAGACTTCATACTGGCAAAACAAGCTAGGACACCTAGTGAAAAATGTCATACCTTGCTAGTTTAATTACAACAAGCTTTAATCTGTACTTGTTATTGGCAACAGTCCAGTATCTCCGTATTTCATTTAGCTTGAAAGGGCAGATCAGTTAGCTGAGTTAGCAACTGTACATTAATAAAGTAAATATTTACACTTAAGGGGAAGTGGCTCAAAGTTGACAGTGTGAAAAGCATTATAGTAAATAGGTGTTAAAACATCCCATCTAAACCAATGCTTTTGGGGAGATGTCCTGGAAGAATCATTCTAGTGGGTTTTTTCCTCTCTTTGTTTTAACTCATTTTCTTAAGTCCAGTGTCTTTTAAGTGTGAATGAATACAGCTGCTTCTTACAAAAAAAAAAAAAAAGCAGCCCATAGATTTGGCCAATATGCAAATTCATTGTAACTGTTTTCATTAGACAGCATTGGGCCAAAAGCCTGAAACCAGGGCAATGCTTTGCATTGTGGGACTTTGGCACAGTAAGCTGTGATTGACAAAGTAAAATTGCTGCCCTAAACCATAGCTTTAATGCATCACGTAGAGACAGCATGTGTATGGTGGACTGTTTAATTGCTCTTTCTCACTGAATTTAATCTGTAAGTAGCTTAGAGCAACAATAGAGATGATCAGACTTTCTCCAGGGACGGATGGAGAATGCCTAGCACCTATGTTTGGCAACAGAATTCCTTTCCAGGACTGGTGACAAATCACTTGCTGCAGGGCTTGAAGGATAGTTAGGTAATAATAGGTAATATTTGTATAAAGTACAAAATATGTAAAGAGCATGTCTAGAGACCTTGAGTGTGCTATTTTTAAAATACAAAATAAAATAGGACTAATGAAATGTATGGGTGAGGCTGTGTAGGCAAGGATATCAGAGTCTCATCCTAATCTGGCTTGGAGCCCTGAGGTACTGTAAATTTGTGTTTTCAAAGTCCCAGTTCTCTGTAACCCCACAGAGGTTGAGGAGGACCCAAGTGACTCAGTTACTTTGAAGCTGAGGCTAAGCATAACTATTTAATTATTTAAATAATTCTATCAATAAATAAATAATTATATCAATATCTGTTATTTTCCATAATCTATGCCTTTCCATTTATATTTTGAGCCTATATTTACATCCAGAAAAATCAGGTTGAAGAAGAGGATTCAGAGTTAAATTTTTGAGTAGGGGGCTCCCCCCAGCTGGTAAATTTCTTTCTTTTTTTCTCCTCCATTCTCTACAATCCATTTAGCACTGCCTCGAGATGATTTCACACTAGGCAGCTCTTTGGGGCTAACAGCCTGAAGGCAAAGAATCAGAGGAGACAGCAAAATTTAGCTTTTAAGCTTTTTTCGTTATCACTACCTCCTTCCTCAGCTCCCCATCAACAACATTTTTGTGAAATGTAGTGTCTGAAAGTGGTAAAACCCATGTTAGCATATCTATAGCAGGGCATCATTTGCTAAACATTTAGACAAGACTTTGAACTTCTTCACTCTTGAAAGCTCAAATCAGGTTTGTGCCATTAGATTCTTTTTTTCTATACTTAGAGTTAATGTCAATGGTACACAGTGAACAAAATCCCCAATTCAGCAGTGTTCATAGATTTAGTAATCACTTTCTGTGAGTCTGTCAAGTAGAGGAGGGAAGGGGACTAAAGAGAAGAGAATTAATCAGTTTCCAAATATGCCCTCATTGAATATGCTGGACTTGAGTAAAATCATTGGAGTTCACTGCCATACCATCCAGGTCATTGATTCTTCATGGTATTAGGAGAGATGCATTTCAAAATCTCTTCTCAGATTTTTGATATTACTGGCTGCTCAGTTATCTCTATATATGGTGCTGTTGGCAGTATCAAAGGCTTTCCTGTTGCTAATTAATCACCTCCACAGAGAACATAATTAGCAGCTTAATTAGGATCATCATCCACTAGTGCTGTAGTATCAACCTAAACCAGCTGTGAGGTGCTGACTAGACCTTACAATAGCCTATAGTTCCTTTGGGAGCTTCTACTGAGAAGGAGGACTGTCAAAACTCCCTAATTTTCTCTCTGAAGGAGTTTCTTGATTGAACGTTATCAGGGAAAGCAGCATTTACAGATTAGACTTTCATATGCTGTCACGCAGCCAGGATGGAGAGACAAAGCGCATTTCTGGCATGTCTACTGGCAAACAAAGGTTGATCACCACATTCTCATGGGGCGATTGAAAGGAATTTGAAACATTTTTTTTGCATTACTAACAAGCCTTAAAATAGTGGAATTGACATTCTGAGTGTGACAAGCACTTCTTGCTAAAAGCAAAAATAAATTTCCTTCTGTTGTCCTAATTTTTAAGAGCTGTCTTTCTGAGCCATTGCCAGACTGTTGCATAACAGTGCTTCCTCCTCATCTTCTCTCAGTAGATTGGTCTGTTGGGGTGGGGAAGCTCAAGGTACGGAAACAATCACTGTTTATATCAGGAGGTGATACAAAACTCCTGATGTCCAGGCATTCCTTCCTTCAGTGAGGGTATATTTGTATGGTGCAAGTTTGAAACAATAGTGAAAGATGCCATTGCCTTTAAATGAGCATTCACATCTTGCTTCCATCCTACAAATAGTTTTGACCCAAGTTATGAAAGATTGAAAAAAGCAGTTGCAGAGCATGTGAAGACACAGCATATATACCTGTGGACTGCACCATTCTTTTCAGGAAGCTTTCTCTTATAACTGATGCAGAATAAGATCAGATGCTATGCTGATAACAAGTACTGAAAGTATATAGATGACTAGAGATAGATATAAGCAACCAAGAGAATGGGGATGAAAACTGGAAACCACTTATACGTGGATCATGAACCAAAAGACAAAAATCCAGGAATGAGATACCCAAGGGAATGAATTCAGCTCTTTTTAAAAGAACATTCTACTTTACAAGTCCAAAGCCCTGCTGGCTTTGAAATAGTTCACAATTCCTAGAAGAAAACTAAATGACAAATTCAAACATGGATTTTTTACGAAGGCCTAGCTAGGAAATCATTATTTTCAAATGCAGATTTACAGGAGAATGAGAGGTCTGTAACTCCACTACTGTGGTATAAATGTGCAGGTAGAGATAAATCACCACTTCTTCCTTTTCACCCTCTTGTTGGTTCCATTTACTAACATTTAAGCAATGCTTTGGAAACTTATTCTGAGATTTCAAGAAGAAATCAAGCTACTAAAATATAGTATAAAGCTGTAAAGAAACTTGTGTATCAGCCAGAAAAAATGGTAGGTAGATTTACATAATCCTTTGACTAAATTGCAAGACATATGGTCCCCTTAAGTTCCTTCATAAAAACATTACTGAGACAAGATGGACACACATCTGTGCTGTAGCAGAGCTGAGATTGATTCATGTTAAAAGATATTTCTAAACCTAAGGCATATCCTTCTGAGCTGTTGCAGAACGCAAACCCACTGTTCCCAGTAGGAACGTTTTGCTTAAGTATGTAAAGGAAAAGTGATTCAGAAAGTCTGTACATTTATGAACTGCGGACCAAATCCTGCCTGTGTGGAAAGGTTACATGTTCCTGTGTCCCAGATATAGGCAAGTCCTCTCAAGTACCTCTTTTTGGAAAGCTCAGGGAGGAACAAACATCCATTAAAAGATTCTTGGACAAGAGAGTCATCTGGCACTGTAGTGGGAAATATTAGTAGTTCTACCAGGTATTTTTAATTAATGTTTTGGAAGAGTCACGTTAAGATGCTTTGCAAAGATTCTTTATGACCAGTGTACGGGTGATGAAACTCCAGCAAAAGAGAATTGAGACTGCCCAGCTAATCAATGGCAAGACCAGGACTCAATCTGGTATTTTGTAACTCCTACTGTAGACATCTCCATTGAGGACCTTCCTTCTTTGTTATGAAAGAGATTAATCTAATCCCAGCTGTTCTGTGTATTTAGGAGCATCTAGATCCAAATTTTTAATTCAGTGTCCTCAAGAAAGAAGAGCTACCTGTCTATTTTCAACACAGTTTGATTTTTCCTTAGTATAGCGTATTTTATTATCTAGATTTTAGCTCAGGACTGCATGGATCTGTTTTAAAGATAGCTGCCTATATTATATATTATGCAACAATAAATACAGCACACTTTGACTAACAAGCTTCTGCCTGTATCTGAGCACTACAGAATTTTACACAGGATTTTGCTAATTTATACATTGAATGGAATGGTAAAGTTGACTGTTTTTTATTCAGCAGGGTCGTTAGTTCTCCCAGGAGAGGCGGAAGAGACAGTGACTTATTGTACACCTTTTTTTGATAAGCCTATTCATTTGAAGTTCAGAACCTTGTCAGTTCCACAGCCATCAGACAGCAAAGCCCAAGAGGTATCATGTCGATTTATTTATTTAAACACTGGGGGTTTGGGGTGGGTTTTTTTACCTATTGGCTTCTAATGTTATTTCCACAAGAACAGAGGGATATAAATGGAGTGGGTGGAACTGCTATGAGTTAACAAATGACATTATAAATTTTTAAATTATTAATGAAATCTTAAATACATTAAGAATTGAGATAAACACTCTAATAGAAAGGTACTATTTATCTTGCACACTGCTACAATATAATCACACATTTTCAAAATGTGTACTTCAGTACGTCAAATGGTATGTGGGCTTTTTACTATTTAATTGATGTAACTCACAGAATGTTCAAGTAAACTCTTGCTCTTCCTGACCTTTCAACAAATCATCACTTAGGTAAAATGGTGGCCCATTTAATTTTCCAGTGATCTCATGATCTTACAACATCCTGCAGTTCTCATTGAGCTGAATATAGGAACCATCTTCTGCAACAAGGAGGTAGTGAACGATCCCTTTAACATGACATTTAAAAGAAAAAAAAGGTTTTAGAATATATTGTGATCAGAATTGGGATTTGTCCTTTTGGAAATGAGTAGTAGCAGGATGCTGCTGAGGATCTGCATTGCTTAGGTCTGATGTGGAGAGGTTTGCATTATGGAGTCTGAGTCTTTTAATCAGACACAATCAGTACAAACTTTAATTTAGAATTCAGAATTACAGTTCTTTTCTAACAGAAGGTGTGGATTGCTCGCAGGCTTATTTTAAGTCATTAAGCTTCCTATCCAAATAGCGTGAGGATTAACTTTTGTGGATGTTTCTATTGCAGAGAATTCTTCTTCACTCTTTTCCATGCCTGATCATTGTAATAGAAGCTGAAGTTAGCTTCCAGCTAAAATGGGCCAGTTTTGATAGTTTCATATGCTTATTGATGTCCCATGAGGCTCAAATCAAGTTTATAAATGATGCGTGACCAGTGAAGGACTGACGTTATAGCAGTGCATATGGTGCTTCATTTCCTGAGCTCAACTATGTTTAGTCTTTACAATAAACTCTTTACTATAAGGAACAAGTCTGCTTTGGGAAAAAGTAAATGTTCTAAAATGACCTTTCAAGCTTTGATACCCACTACTTTGTGAATAAATATACTCACTCTTTTCCCTAAAGACTGACATAATTCAAAGTTTTTTTGCCTTGAGAAATACCCATTTGCACACAAAAAAAAAGCCCTAAAATGAGTTTTTATAGTTTCCTCATTTGGTAACTTCTGTATAAAACCAAAGAAGGATAACTTCTGTATAAAACCAAAATGTAGCAGCCTGCAGTGTTCATAAAGGATTGCATATGACTCTTTAAACTATAATTCATGAAAAATAGATGAAGATCCCACTGCATGCAAAATTCATTTCCATTTGAGAAAAAGTTGGATTATGAAAGAGAAACTGAGTATTATTACATTGGTTAAAGGGTTGCTGCATTTTTCAAGAAGAAAGACTTAGGATTTTCACAACTTTTTGGTTGGTGCCAGGCTACTCAAGATGAAGGCAGTGTTTCCCCTAAATTATCCACGTATTTGTGCCTTCATTTAGATATAACTGTGGCCTAATTTTTGGAACTGTCAAGACTGAACAGGTCTATTTCAAAACCCCTCAGTGCTTCAGATTGTCACTGCCTTGAAAATTAAGTCTTGCTTTGCTTATGGCAGGATTTTCCCTGCAATAGAATCATAGAATCATTTAGGTTGGAAAAGACCTTTAAGATCAAGTCCAACTGTACTTAGGCACCACATCTACAGATCTTTTAAATACCTCCAGGGATGGTGACTCAACCACTTCCCTGGACAGCCTGTTCCAATGATTGACAACGCTTTCAGTGAAGACATTTTTTCTGACATCCAATTTAAACCTTCCCTGCCACAACTTGAGGCCATTTCCTCTTGTCCTATTGCTTGCTACTTGGGAGAAGAAACCAACACCCACCTTGCTACAACCTCCTTTCAGGTAGTTGTAGACAGCGATAAGGTCTCCCCTTGGCCTCGTCTTCTCCAGGCTAAATAACCCCAGTTCCCTCAGCCGCTCTTCATAAGACTTGTTCTCTAGACCCTTCACCAGCTTCATTGATCTTCTTTGGACGTGCTCCAGCACCTCAGTGTCTTTCTTGTAGTGAGGGGCCCAAAACTGAACACAGCATTCAAGGTGCAGCCTCAGCAGGGAGATGGTCACTTCCCTAGTCCTGCTGGCCACACTATTTCTGATACAAGCCAGGATGCTGTTGGCCTTCTTGGCCACCCAGGCACACTGCTGGGTCATATTCAGTCGGCTGTTGACCAACACCCCCATGTCCTTTTCTGCCAGGCAGCTTTCAAGCCACTCTTCCCCAAGCCTGTAGCGTTGCATGGGGCTGTTGTGACCCAAGTGCAGGACCTGGTACTGAGCCTTGTTGAATCTCATACCTGATCAGGAGGAGGATGTTGATGAGGCCTTCTACAGATAGCTGGAAGTAGCTTCATGATTGCAGACTGTGATTCTCGTGGGCAACTTCTACCACCCTGATATTTGCTGGAAAGGCAACACAGCTAAGCACACACAGTCCAGGAGGTTCCTGCAGAGCACTGATAATAACTTTTTGATACAGATGGTGGAGGAGCCCATGCGGAGCAGGCTGCTGCTGGACCTTGTTATAACAAACAAAGAAGGACTAGTTGGGGATGTGAATGTTGGGGGCAGCCTTGGCTGACCATGAGTTCAGGTGGACTTCATGATGGAATTCAGGATCCTGTGTGGAAGAAGTAGGGCAATAAGTAGGATTACAAC